AAAATCCACTTCATTTTATTGAGAACACACACCTGAAGACAAAACAAACACACACAGAGATAATGTTGATTTTAGAACAAGGTAAAGATCCATCAAACAAAGGAACTGCTCTGGGTGGTAACAAAATGTCGTTGTCATTAAATGTGACTTAAAGGTGATTGTTGACAGTAAAATTGTAGCAAATTAAATATTGTTTTTGCTGAACTACCCCCTCATCACCATCTGTTTGGAGGGGAAAAGGGACAAAAATATTCCTCTTTTAAGAAAATACGGATGAGCATAATTCAGCCTGATATCTACATCAACAGATGTGCGGCCCAGTAAGAGGCCAGTTCAAGCGTGGACATGTGGTCAAGGTGTGGGCAGTGCAATGTGGTACGAAGGAAACTGCCTCCAACAGATGACAATATCTTTGAGGTCTGAATGTCCTACTCACCGTGGGCACACACAAAGCTGAACTCACTCACAACCCCTACGCTTCGGCAGAGGCACATTCTCACAACCAGACCGTTCGGTCTGCAAGACACTACCCACACACACACAGAGACAGAGGCACATGCACGTACTGACACACATACTCCATTGGCCCGTGAGACACTGCCCACACACACTGGCAGATGCAGGCTGAGTCACTCGTAAGTGCAGACGGGTGGATTTGAGCTCCCAAGGTCCTGTGGGATTACTAAGCAGCTGCTAGGCGTACACACAAACATACATATCGACACACTCCCAAAATCACACATGAAGTTGGACAAAGAATTGCCAACAGATCGAGTTGCTAAACTCACAGAATTCCATTGAAAGAATGGCAGATTTCCACAAAACTGACATGCCTGTCATTCAAGCTCTAAACATGCTTTGCACCTTTCGTGTTTGTTTATTAAACAGTTCTGCTACACTTAATAGTGTACTGCATCTCTACTGAAAACATTTCAGCGAGTTCTTTGTAGATTTTTAAGATTTTCCCCCAAAATCAGTGCAGAAAATGCAACAAACATGAGCATTAAAAAGACAAAGCTGCCAGTTATATGAATATAAAACCATATTTCTCAACTAGATTTGTATAAGGACCTAGTTTTTACTTTGGACATCAAGTAGCAACCCAATACAGCAGGAAAATTGTTTATCATACAAAAGTAACCACATAAAAGATTGAAATTTAATAGGCCCAACAATATGCAAAAAATAATACTAGTTCAAATGGTTTAAGACCAGTTTATGTGGAACATGGCATCTATCAAATTTGACTACTTCCTACTAAGTAACAGATGAATTTGTGGCAAAAAAAGAGTGATGAACAGAAAAGTTTTTTTTTTACACAAATTTTTTGGTACTTTCACAGTGCCAATTATTGTTGATCTGTTGTAGCTCATCCATTTTGTATGCACGAATAAACAATGACATGGTCAAAATTAATTAAAATGTCACCCTTCAAAAGTATTCTGGCCAATGATTGATA